GCCTTGAACGTGGTAGTTGCGTTGCTGTCTATGCAGGGTCAGAAAGCTCTCAGATTTCATCAAAAATATCTTAATCTGTGTTCCGAAGATGAACGAAGGTCTTACGGGTATGGAACAACATGAGGGTTGTTATTAATGACAGAATTTTCATTTTTGGATGAACTATATATATATATATATATATGGAATATATATGGATATATATGGAATTCTGCCTGGGTTAGGCAAAATTCAGAACTGAAAAAATTGGCTTCCTTTCAATTCAGTGTAAATTGTAAATGAACTGGACACAATGCACAGGACTTTGAATTGGAGCAATTTAGTATCTGGTTATCATTTTGTCTATCTGTCTGTCTGTACACAAGACTTATAAACCTTCAGGCTCCATGACTTTTTAAACTTTTTTTCAAAACTTGCAAAGAAAGCTTTCTCAAGCCAACATTTAGAGGTTGTCTTGATAAACTTTGATTTTCTAGTAAAATAATAATAATAATAATAATTGTTATATGGGTTGTGATTTATTTAAATTCCACTTCCTTAAATTCAAATTCCAAAATCCATCTTTAATTCAAATTCACAAATTAATGAGAATTTAAAAGGCATTCTCAATTCAGTTTTAAATGATGCACAAAACTCACTTCTACAGAATCTATATTCCATTTGTTTTAATACTTCAACTGAAATCACCTTGTAAATACATCATGTGAAGTTGACCCTAACCCTGAAAGCTGATGTCATGGTTTCAGTGTTTACACTCTTACTCACCTGTAAATTAGTGTCTCATCAGCAGTGCAGTTATACTGTATTTGATACAGCCACACCAGGCTGACTCCCATCAGTTGACCCTTATCCCATCGCACTTGTGCTGAGGTGGAGGTCACTCCTTGTACTCCTACGATCTGTTCCTCACTCCCTTCACTGACCACATCCTCACCCTCTGTCTGACCCTCCTCCTGTCCCTCCTGGGGGTCACTGTTAGTGTCCAGACCAGAGCTTTGCCCACTGGAAGTCTTCCCTCTGGTGATGTCCGATGATCCTGGGTCACGAGCTAACAATACCGTTCCATTTCCACGATGAGGGAGGGGGATAACCTTCAGGTCAACAAGTGAGGTGGCCTCACCTGCAGCATTGATAGCAATACAAGTGTACGTACCATCATCACGAGCAATAGTCACATGTATCTCAAGAGTGCCATTTCGGAAAGATGTGGTACGACTGGAATTGCCAATGATGCGGTCATCTGGTGAGACCCAGTGCACCACTGGCTCTGGATCACCAATAGCACGACATTTGAGTGTTGCCCTTTGACCCTCCAAAACCCAGAGTTTGTGTGTATGTCGGGTAATTAGCGGAGGCTCACAGGCAAATTCCTCCTCAGGGATAGACCAGAAGTAACGTCCCGCTAAATGTAGGGGTGTAGCACATGTTTCCATATCATCACTGCGGATCAGCCTCCTCAACCAAAGCAGTTCACAGTTGCAGTGTAAGGGGTTACCCCCAAAATTTAAGTTGATTACGGCATTGTAGGGTGTAGGGCTGATGACCCCTGTCTGGGAGCGAGCGAACAATGGATCGGGTGGCAAAGTCTGTAGCCGATTGGAGGTCATGTCCAATCGGGCTAATTTGTAGAGCTCACTAAAAGACCCCTCAGCAATCTGGTCAATGAGATTGTGATCTAGGTTCAAAGTGTGCAGACTGGCCATACTCTGAATGCCATCCCAGGGAGCCTTGCGCAGATTGTTATAGGATAAGTCCAAGTCCTCTAGAGTGAATAAAAAGTCATCAAAGGCCTCGGATGAGATATTGATGAGTTGGTTGTTGTTGAGAATGAGATGCTGCAGGTTTATCATGCCTACTAAGTCTCGTGGGCCCAGCTCTGAGAGTCGGTTGCCATCTAAGTGCAACGAACGAAGACTTTCCAGATCTGCAAATGCCAGTGGCCGGATGTGACTGATGGTATTCCGGGATAGTGTCAAATCCACCAGTCCTGTCATGTTGGCAAAGTCAGCTCCTCCCACTTCTCGAATGAAGTTATCAGCAAGGCGAAGCTCAACAGTTCGGCGGTCAATGTTTGCCGGGACAAAAAGAAGACCTTTGTCGGCACAAAGTGTGCTTAGAGATTCTGAGAGATTCCTGCAGACACAATGGAAGGGGCACGCTGAGACTACACCCCACGTCTCGCCAGCTACAGCTCCTGGAATTTGACTGAAAAGAGCAGGCAGCAAGCAGGCACAAGTGACCAGTGCCAGCCAGTGCAGTAATTGCAGTGGCAGTGTCGGTGAGGATGTGTCTGGGGGTGAGTTTCTGCTGGTGAACTTTGGCCACAGCAGAGGAGAGGGTTGACAAAATGCTTCAGAGGGTTTGAGGATATTTTGTTTCAGATGGATGGATGGATGAGAGGGCAATGAGGGGGAGTGTGTGTTCCTGTGAGGATGACATAAAATGTGGGACGGATGTGGTTTTCTGAATGGCTGAAGGGGTGGGGAGTCTTGCATGGTAGATAGGGGAGTGATCCACAGACCTAGAAAAAGCAGAAAGAGAAAGACATCAGTCATCATGTTTCAAGTGTCAACTTTGTAGTGCTGATGTGTGTGGTTTCTTTAACTGTGAATGAGCTCATGCAGTTGCTCTCCACAGGAATTTCTACGCTTGGGCACCCTGTGCATAACTGCATATGAAATTACAGCATAAACTAAGACTAAAACCACACTGTCTAACGCTATTGGTGTAAACTGTGCCATCCACGAACCTCAAAAAAGCATGGAAAGGCCATATAACAATTATTTTAGTGCATTTTGGAAGTTTTTACATTCACACTCCCACCTTAGTGTGTGGCAGTTTTCTTTGGAAGAACAGCTGCTTGCTTCACTTCAAGAGAAGTGAGAGCCACAAAAACACTAATCATTTCACTCAGCACTGATGGACAAGCTCTGTTTAAGAATGTTTTATTCTTAATGATGTGGAAGCTACATGGTAAAGATGTGGTCAACTAAAAATCTGTACAAATGCAAACTTTGTTACTTTGTGCAGTGTACTTGATTTAAGAGATAAACTCATGTGTAAACACAAAGGAAGAGAGAAGGACAAAAAGAATGAAAGAATCATTACATCATGTAAAAATGCTAATTGCAGGTTTGTGACTGAACAATCTATAATATCTGTAATTTGATCTCTTTCGCCAATTTGTCCTTTGCACTGAGTTGTCATCGTAAAATATGGGTTTCAAACCAGAGATAAAGCTAAAGAGGTATTCATTTATTTGAGAATGTACATCACACTTTTGTCCTGCATTAGCGCATTCCGCAAATGCTCTTTAACTGTGTCCCTTAGCACTAAGTGCATGTTACCAAGCAGATACAAGCCAAGGAAAACAGTGATCAGAATCAGCATGAAATGTTCCATATCTGCATGTAGAGTGAGAATGTGGACCACAGCTCAGATGAGATGACTCACAAATCAAACATTCAGTCTTCCTCGTGGCCAGTGTTGGGAAATAGCCTACTAAAAATAGTGGCACTACTAACTCAAATACATTTACTGTTTGTGTGAGAGTTAAAATACTGTAGCTTTTCAAACAAGGTACTTTTGCACTGTAGTGTAACTGGTAGCTGGTTTTAATGCAACATTGTATTTTGTAAGCAACTTTACTGCCAAGCGAGGAGAGGGAATAAAACATCCTAAACTGTCCATTCTCTCTATATGCTGTTTAAAACAGATTTATTGTAGTGAGATGGTTTGTTCGAAACAGTTCTGTTTCTCATATGTGTCATTGAAAATTCTGATTCATTCTAGTGAATTGGTTCATTTTAAAAAGTTCTCTCTCTTATACAGAGGTTGGACAGAATTATGTGACAACCTATTATAATAGGGGTTAATATAATCTGCATAGGCTACAGTGAAAAAGAAATGTTGCTATTTCATTGCCCAGTTTGTTTATCAGTGTAGTAAAAGTTATGTTCAGCAGTGTTTAGTACAATTGGTCTGTGAAATGGATGACGTTTCAGACTTCCAAAAAGGGCAAATCATGAAAGCCCATTCAGCAGGAGCTTTTTTAACCTTAACAGCCCAGTTGTTTGGTGTTTGAAGAACAATAGTCTTTATGATTATGATGTAATACACAAAATATGGCAAGATTTCATCTGCAAAGAAGAAAAGTGTTTGAAATCTGAAATAGGTTGTTTGCAATCACGTGATTCTGATGACGCGCGAAATGCAGCTGGCATTGTGCTGTGTGATAAAACTGTACATTTTAGAGTGGCCTTTTATTGTGGCCAGCCTAAGGCACACCTGTGCAATAATCATGCTGTCTAATCAGCATCTTGATATGCCACACCTGTGAGGTGGATGGATTATCTTGGCAAAGGAGAAGTGCTCACTAACACAGATTTAGATTTATTTGTGAACAATATTTGAGAGAAATAGGCCTTTTGTGTACATAGAAAAAGTGTTAGATCTATGAGTTCAGCTCATGAGAAATGGGGGCAAAAACAAAAGTGTTGTGTTTATAATTTTGTTCAGTGTATATATATATATATATATATATGCATCATGCCTAAAACAGTAGCCTACATTACAGACTTTCCTGTATCTCATCCGTTCTTTTTCAGTCACTCCTGAAACTTTGCTGGATGTACAGGGTATGTGGCTGTTGGTCCTGTTAGCGGCACCTAAAACAAAACTTTTATTCAAATTCTGAATTGATTATAGCCTGCCTAGGAAGCGAGCAAATAGCACTTCCATATAATCACTAAAAAGCTGTCACTCACTTCAATTGATCACAATCTCACGATGTTCCTTTATAATCAGTGAAACTCTCTGAACTGCAAATATCTTATTTACGTGTCTACGCGTGGTGTTTAGCACTGAGTAGATTCTGACTGTCACAATGCGTGAGAGGTGGCAGCCCAATCTATTTATATCTTTATAAATATCTTAATATATTATTATATCCTATAATAACCATTTATGTGAACAACACATTTTCGTACACGATAAAATCTTCTTGTGGTTTCTCGGTTTGGCCAATTTAAGCATCCATAAACAATGCAAAACACAGGCATTTTGAGTTTCTGCTAGTGATTCCTATGGAGAAAAATCACTTCCTGCCCTCCAGCTGCATTTCGCGCGTCATCAGTGACGTCATGTGCAAACAACCTATTGAAAGATAAGGACTGTCGAACACTAAGAAGGATTTTGTCCAAACAACACAGAATTACAGCAATGAAAGCAAATCAGCAATATTCCTCTTGAAGACCCCGTTTACACAAAAAACAAACACAGAAAACTTCACAAAGCCAACATCCATGAAAGAGCTGTTTTGCTAAAACTTTAATCACAGACACCAATTCTAAAATGCGAAAAAGACAGTCATGATCATAAAACTTGGACAGTTGGAGCACCAAGAACATCTGCCATGGCCAGCTCAATCACCTGAATTGAATATTATCAAAACCACTGTGGGCAGCTTTGGGGAGAAGAACTGGCAGATTTTTTGATAGATGGCATTCAGCTGGAAACTCTTCAAAAGTTGTATGAACTTTTGAATAGTCTTTTCTAAAAAAAAAGTTGGAAGCTGTATTAAAGACAAATTGTGGTGAAACACCTTAATAAAGAAATATTGCCTATTTCCCAAGTGTTCGCATTATTTTGTCCATGTAGATTAGGACAGTCTGATTTATTCTAGCAAATGAATTTGTCCTACTTGGTCTTCTCTTATGTAGTATTGGAAAGCTGGTTCACATAAATGAACAGAAAATAAAGATTAACTAATTTGAGCCCCAGCGCTGCACTTCTCACGTCAGACTCACATCTGTAACAGTGATCTTTGCACGTCATTACTGGAGTTTGTGCTTGCTCACCCCTCTTTGGTATTATTAACAGTACAGCGCAGTAATTATGCAAATTTCAAAATGACAAGATAATAATTATGGCAAAGTCATTACACTGAAAAATGCAGATAAATATAACCAGGGAAATATCAGACTTTACTCAATTAAGCTTGTTTTTCAGCACGTTACTCATTAAATAGTGGCAGATTCTTATTTTTTGATTATATAACAAAATTAGATGAGTCCTCTGACTTTGCACTTGAAAGTACAGAAATGGGAGGAATCATGAACATTTATAATGTTCACATAGAAGTGCAAGATTAAACCCCATGATTAAATTGATTACTATATTGATTGGACAAAATATCCTGTAAGATTCTTTCAGAGACCATTAAGATTCTTCTTACAGCATTATGGTTGTGAACAATAAGTAACTATGGTATTTTGGCAGTAAGTATGGTTGGCATGGTAATTTTTTTAAAGGGATAAGTCATGAGTAACTGGAAATTGTCATCATTCTCACCCTCATGTCCTTTTAAACTCTTTGTTTTGCAGAACATAATAAAAGAAAGTTTTTTTTTTTTTTTTGTAATATACAATGAAAGTCATTGGGGTTCAATCTTGTTTGGACTCCACTGTTCTTCAGAATGTCTTCATGTGTGTTCTCCAGAATAAAGAAAGTCATACAGGTTTGGAACAACATGGGTAAACAACAGTTTAATTTTGGGGAAAACTATCCCTTTAAGCGATGGAATTCAATGAAGACATATGGAGAATGTCAATGCTCGGTGATTAATAACTATATTCATAAGAAATGCATTTGTTATGTGTTGGTGGAGGGAGAGGAAAGTGCAACTGAGTACAATTTCCAACATGACTTTTAATGTCTCATAACTCTGCATTCCCAGAAGTCTGTGGGAGATCGAGCGGAAAAAACTCTATAGTGCTATGCAAAAGTATCGGCTTCATCTGTCTCTTTCTCGTCCTTTTTCCTTCCCTGTGTGGTCTTCCTTCGACCTCCTGTGACCTTCCTTCTCCTCTCCCCCCCCTACCTATTTCTTTGCCACGCCCCTTTATCAGTTTCTTCTATTACCCAGGGATCTGCTTATCACCTGTGTCCACTCTTCCCATCTGCCCTTGAGGTAACTTGAGAAGTAATGCAACATTAGTTAAAGTATCCCTCCTCTCTCTCTCTCTCTCTCTCTCTCTCTCTCTC